CCTGAGTAGCTGGGACTACAGGCACGTGCCGCCATGCCTGGCTAATTTTTTTTGTTGTTGTATTTTTAGTAGAGACAGGGTTTCACTATGTTGGCCAGGCTGGTCTTGAACTCCTGACCTCATGATCCACCCGCCTCAGCCTCCCAAAGTTGCTGGGATTATAGGCATGAGCCACTGTGCCTGGCCCACGATGCATTTCTCAGAATGTATCCCTGTCATTAAGTGACACATGACTGTACGTTAGTAATGAGAAAAGAGAAAGGAAGGAAAGCAGTGAGGGAAGAAGGAAAAGAAGAGCAAAGAAAGAAAAGGAAATTTAAAAGAGACAAATGAAGCAAACAGAAAAATCTTAGTAATTGTGGAATCTGTGAGATGAATATACAGAGGTTGTTACTTATATTGCTCTACTTCTGTCTTTTTATTCATTTTTTTCTTAAACTATTTTTTCTTTGTTCTTTTTTTTTCTTTTGACTGAGCCATCCATTTACTATTTCTGTTTATTTTGAAAGTTTTCATAATAAAGATTAATTTTTTAAAACCACCAAGATCACTAATCCTGTACTAACAAAGCACACAATTTCTCATATCCAAAAGAAAGTCCCTCTGTGAGAGCCCATCTTCTGAATAGTTTAAAACCCAAAACATCCCCATTTCATTATATGAATCCTCTTAGATTTTAAGAATATATCTTAGCAAGGAATAGACAATACTGAATTCCCTTTCCCAATGACATCTTAATTTAAAAATAGCACCAAAATTGACAGGGTGTGGCGGCTCATGCCTGTAACCCCAGCACTTTGGGAGGCTGAGGCAGGTGGATCACTTGAGGCTAGGAGTTTGAGATCAGCTTCGTCAAAATGGTGAATCCCCGTCTCTACTAAAAATACAAAAATTAGCTGGGTGTGGTGGCGCATGCCTGTAATCCCAGCTACTTGGGAGGCTGAGTCAGGAGAATCACTTGAACCCAGGAGGCAGAGGTTTCATGAGCCGAGATCATGTCACTGCACTCCAGCCTGAGCAACAGAGGAAGATTCTGTCTCAAAAACAAAAAACAATAAACAAACAAAAATAGCACCAAAATAAATGAAATACTGAAACTCATTAGTTACAGAAAAGAAATAGTGTCTCCAAAGCATCAAAAACCCAAACACTGGAAGGATACATTAAACAACTGAAAAGTGATGACTTCTGGGGCAGAGGCAGAGATGAGTATTCTCAATTAATACTTCTTAACATTGATGATTTTTTGAGCCATGTGAATGTATTGCCTAATCAAAAATAAAATTTAATTTCAAATAAAATAATTTGATATACACTTTTCATATTTGAAAGAAATAATGTTACTCTTCCATGAAGAATCTTACACTAAAGCTTTAAAAAGGAAAAATGAGCTGCTCTTTAAGACTTGCTGACAATCATGTACACGACAACGGTATTTTCCAGGATCAACCTTTGTCACTTTTAAAACATGTTAATTTCTCCTCCTACTTCTAAACAGGTTCTTACTTTTCTTTAGACAAACATTAAAAACTTGAAATAAATCTGGAGTATTTAACGTAAAAGCAAAAGACTCCCTGAGGTTAACCTGAAAAAAAGCTCAAATCAAGGAAAGCCCCTTCTATTTTTCATTTTGAGTCAAGCCACACATTTAAGTCTTTACTTGAAAAGTGATGAATTTAACAAGGATTTAGAAATCTTCACTTCGTTCCACTCTTCTAACTCAAACCCAACCTATGATATTTTTCCTTTCTTTTCTCATCCATTACCTGTGCGGCAGCCTCCTCTTGTCAATCAAGATTACTGAAGCCTCAAACCAAAACTCTATCATTTGCCTGTTAAACTACTTAAAATAGATTTTTAAAACCTGATTCTTATAACCTCTTCTGATGCGTTTCTGTATCCCTTTTCCTGGTTCTTTTACGGAGTTAATAGCCAAATAAATAAATTAGTATTAAAACTTTAAGACAAGCTAAAGCCCCACATGGCTATCTGGCAGACTATACTGTGTTCCCAGCGTACCTGGTGATTTCATGGACTTAGTAGGCAGGTGGAAGACTCCACCAACCAGTAAGCACTGCAAACATGTCATGCAAAAACATGGCATTCTCATTCTAAAAAGAAAACTCTTCACTGGATTGCTTTTCATGATGGTTACTGGTCTAGATACAAGCTTGATTAGGGGCTATGAATTAATATGTATTTCCTGAAGGTCCAGAATGTTTGTTCTTGCAGAGCTTTAAATATGGTTGACAAGACATATTTAACGTCCAGAAGAACATATTAGCAGGTCAACTTTGCAGCACACAGGCTGTTAGCACAGCGGAGCCAGGAGCTACACAAGGCTAGCACAGACTCAGCGGCTTCATGGACCCCTGGCAAGATGTGACAGGTGTGTAAGACAAACCAGGGAGTCAATGGGAACCCACTGCTCCCCCGACAGAGGTTCTGCCTCTGAGACAGAAAGGGGTTTGGCTGGGATAAACTGTGGAGGAAGAGCAGGGGTGGAAGAAAAATGAGAACAAATAAATGTGAGTAAAGATGTTTCTCTCTGTAAAACAAAAGTAGGTTGTGATCAGATTCTACAGTGCACCCAGAGCCAGGCTTGCGGGCTGTAGGCAGCTGTATTTACACCCACTGTTATTTAGATGCAAATTAAGGGGTGGGTTAATGCAAATTGGGAGAAGATTATTCAGAACTTTCTAGGAAAGGGGTGCGAACTTCTGGGTCATTGGCCATGGCACTTGTGAACTGTCATGGCGCTGGTGGGTGTGTCTTATGCTAATAAGCAGTGAGGGCAGCCAGAAATCCCTTTCCTTGCCATCTGCTGGTCTGGGCTGATTTCTTTACTTCATCCTGTCTGGACCAGATTCTGTTCTGGTCAGGAGGTTGTGACCAGAAAACAGGTCCTGCTGATCTCCTACCTTGGAACCAACCATTTGGGCATATGCTATATTTACAGAGTATAGTTACGTGAAAAAACTATCACATTTAAGGCTAAGGCATTACTGAAAATAATCAGGTATGGGGGATGTATGAAAGGAATACCACATAAAAATGAGAGTAGCAAAAATTAGAATATTTAATATTAAAGTAGAATATTCAATATTTTAAATATTTAGAATTAAAATTAGAATTCTGAAAATTAGAATATTTAATATTTTAAATATTTAGAATTAAAATTAGAATTATAAAAATTAGAATATTAAATATTAAATATATTTAATTTACATTACTGTCCAATGTCAAAAATCAAATGCTTTACAGAAACATGGAAAGTACAAATAAATTTTACTACTGATTTATGCTACATTGTTAACAGGTGAAACAGCCAAATCTTTGACAGAATTTTAAAAGAGAAATTTTATTTTTTAATGCAACTATAGGGAGCAGGGTTTCAAGTTCTGCAACCAGAAAACAATTTTGTGAAACAATATCTTACATTAAGCTATAATATATTCTAAACCCTTGTCGTTTACCATAAACAAATTATTATAGATTTTTAATAACAGTTTATGTATTTTCACTAAAAAGACTGATGCTGAATTTGAGATACATTTTTTAAAAATGGTAGCTAACTAACCTGGGGAACACAGCAAGAACCTATATCTCTGCAAAAAAATTTAAAAATCGGCTGGGTATGGTGGTACGCACTAGTAGTGTCAGCTACTTGAGAAGATGAGGCAGGAGGGCTGCTGGAACCTAGGAGGTTGAGGCTACAGTGAGCCATGATTGTGCCACTATACTTTGGCCTGGGCGACAAAGTGAGACCCTGTCTCTAAAAAGAGTTGTTTAATGAAAAATAAGAATAAAAAATAGTATCTGACCAAATATTCTTAACTAAAGGTTAGGAGACAATTATGTCCTGTAAGTAAAAATGGTTTTGGCAACAGTGATGGATGCAGCCCAAAGAGTGGAAAATAAATGAAAATTAAGCAAGTAAGTGCTTCAATACACTCATTGATCTTAGGCTACCTCATTCTGCTGGTAAAGAAAAGAACATAGAAAGTTATTGTTTTCTGTTTTTATGACAAATGCCAAAATAAATAATTAAGCAATTACTTCTTATTTTGGAGAAGTACCTACTATGCTTTACTTGATGCTTCGATAATGCATAGTCATAAAAATATTTTAAAGCTTAATACCAAATAAATAAACATATTATCACAGTGCACGCTGGTATGCTTTAATGAAGAAAAAACAAAAAAACTTACATTTTCTTCTATTACCTAAATCAATCTTAACTCTGCTACTTAAACAGTGTATCTCAAAAATTAATTACAAGAGAAAAATGTTAACAAGTTATTAAAGGGTAAGATTCTGAGCTTTTTCTGTAAAATTCCTATTGGGCATATAAAGTTGCTTGAGCTATAAACATTTTAAAATGTGTTCACTGTGAAAAGAGCTCTATTTCTTGGGTTTATAAATAAATATAAAAATTACAGAAATAGTGTGTATGTAGGGACAGAAGGACATACCTACTTTTCTCCAATATAATAAACACAGGAGGATACAGAAGCCAGAGGAGTACTTCTGTCAACTTAAGTTTCTTAAATCTGTATTTCGTTTAAATCCTTCCAGATGGACCAATAATGTGTTGACAATATATGTGTCCAAATAAAAATGAGAAAACATAAGAAAATAACGTAGCACCATGCCATGTACTGCTTTATTCCTTTACTGGTTCAGTAAACACGTGCTGAGCCCCTACTCTGGGCCAGCAACGGGACACAACAAGGATTCCAGCAAAGCTCACAGCCTAGGAAGAGAACCAGAAAGCTACGCATGGGCAGGACTGGAGAGGGACCAGATTCTAGAATTTTAAACAAGGAAATGATACAAGCAGCTGAAGAATACGTGAGTGAAGCAGACCACACCAGCAGAAAGGATGGTGTCAGGGGAAGGATTTGTACTGTGGGTGACTCAGTGGATGACAGTAGCTGCCAAATAAACATCAGTTTCCTTTTTCCTTTTCCTGTATGGGTATTTCTTGAAAAACTTACCTTTCTGCACGAATCACACCACTGTAGTAGGGGGGGTCCCAAGGCATTACTTCCTACAACGGAATAATTCACTGTTAAGGAAAGCTACTGACTCTTTCTCAGTTTTTATCAGCAACGTGGCCAGTTTATAGAATGTAAACCAGCTACTGTTCATGTAAATCAGAGCAATTTTATAGAATCCCTTAAAAAACTGATAGCTTGGCAGAAAATACCTGGCTCCTTATTTTGACTTCCCTGTAATCAAAGGAGAGCAAGGTATAAATAAGACCTACGGAATCTGGGAAAAGGCAAACGAATGTCATTCTAAAGTGGAATCTAACAAAAGTAAACATTAATGAATTATATTAGCCATAATGAAATTTTTCCCAAAACGTAACCCATGTATTAATCCATAAAACATACTGCAGGTAAGATGAGTGTACTAAAGGCACGATTAAGGTTCTTTCTAAATCTAAGCAAGAAGCTTTGGGTAGGTATCAAAAATGAAAGCAACAATTTAAAGTGTAACCCAGGCAGAATTAACTCTAATCTTGGCAAAGAAAATATGTCATAAAGAAGTACTACAGTACTAGTTGCTTCTGATGACTGGTATATAATACTGAAAGAAGGGAAAGCTTGAATACTTGAATGAACTGTCCTCCTTCTAGGTCTCCAGGTGGACAAGAGAGTGGTTAAGAGACCAGGCTGTGAAGACAGACTGCCTGGGCTCAAGTTTCCAATCCATACCAGACCATAAACTGCATGATGACAGGGACTTTGTTTGTATCCTTCCCTATTACATTCCTGTACCCTGAACAGTGGGCACAGGGTAATCACTCAGTAAATACTTGTTGAAAGAATCAACAGTACCTCCCAAATAAGATTGCTGAATGTACTTAAACTATTAAGTAGAGTATCTGGCGTTGATTATGGGCTCAACAAATGTTAGCTGCTCTCCTCAGTACCATTATCCTTTAACATTTCAGTTTAGGCATAATCTCCTCCAATAACAAGGTGTTATTTCCCATATTCCATGGTAATACTTGTATCAAGGGATGTATGACAACCTAAGATACGTGTAGGCTTATTTTCTTTCTCCCCATGAGTGCCTGAAGGGCAGGGACTGTGTCCATGGAATCCTGGCCCCACAGTGTTCAGGTCTTGGCACACATTTTCTCTAACAGATGATTATCTACTATCTGCTAGATGCAGACAGAGTGCAGGCTGTAATGAGGCAAAGGCAAGAGGATGATAGCTTAGGCAGTAGAAAGGCAAGTGACTCAACAATCAGAGGACAGCATGTCATGTCTACATTGTGCCATGTAAAACACAGTCCACGAGAAGGGTATTTAAATCACAGCGGAAGGTTAGGAAATGTTCTCGAGAAGGCAAAGCCTGAATTGAGTTTTATGATAGGAGCAGTTAATTCAGATGAGAAAGGGGGAAAGGCATTCCTGTAGGTGGTGTTGTAAATGACTGGAAGCTGCCAACCATGCCATATTCATGTGGCCAGTACGTAAATAGTAATTCAAATCAAAGAATCAAAGAAAGCAAAGCAAGGAAAGAAAGCAAAACGAAGTGAATAGAGATCACATGAGCATTGCAGTTATTAGGAGAGAGCAAAAAACACAGCCTCGGCTTGGAGGGGCAGCAGAAGATGAAGCTAGAGAAGCAGGCAAGGGCCAAATCATGAGGGCTTGGCGGGAGCAGCAGGGCAGTAGGAAGGGAAATCAGAGAATAACCGGGAGCTACTGAAGAATTTTAAACGAGAGAGTGAGAAGATCAGATCTGCTTTTTAGACAAATCCCTCTGGTGGCAATTCCTTCATTTATTATTCATTCATAGTTCAAATAAGTGTTGACAACCAATTCTACGCCTAACACTGGGCTAAAACCATGGTTAAACTGTCTGAATCCAAGATGGCTTTGAGTAGAGCAAGAACAAAAGGCTAGAAACCAGTTTGGCATTCCCAGTTACCATCTGGGTGAGAATAATGATCCCAACCCAGGCTATGGCAATGGGTACAGGAGAAGACACAAGAGTTCACAGGACGGGAGAAGCTGCGGGAACTAACAAATGATCAAGGGGGAGGGCAGTGTGCAGTGCCTGGAGATGCTTGTTGAAACACAGATTGTGGAGCTCGCCCCAGTTTTTGATTCAGTGGGTCTGAAGTGGGGCTCAAGAATTTACATTTCTAACAAGCTTCCATGTGATACTACTGCTTCTGGTCCAGGAACCACACTTTGAGAACCACTGGTCTGGATTAAGTTCAGGCCCTGATTAGAACAGCAGGGTGAATGGTGGCACCATTCACAAAAACAGGGACTTCATGAGGAGACTGGGCATTTCACAAATATCTGCAGAATAATCATATCCATAAGCTATATACAAGTGTCTACAGATAACAGTTTAAAGTCATATTCACTTTTACTGGATTAGCTTTTGGCAACACATTTTATTTTTTATTTTTCTGTTTCTATAGTCACCAAACTAAATTCTTATCTATTATTTAGTCTCCCAAATGAGACTACCTACCAGGCCAAGGTGTGCAGATGACTAACACTAGTTACTTTGCTAGACACAGCTCCCTCCATAAATTAACAGACTGACATGCTACTCTACACATCACTGAGTTTAATGAGATTAATCTGTTTCCTACTGGCTATATCTGGGAAGCTAGTAAACAGTTTGTAAATCTGCAAGGCCCATTTCCCTAAATCTTCCTTATGACTATGGCTCTGGCAGCAGCAACTAAGTCAAGAACTAACAACAGCATTTGGAAAAGAATGGTGTAGACAACCCCGGCAATCCTGTAGTGCCCTAGAACCAAATGGGAATGAGCCCTAATATCTGGAATCTCGACACTTTTCAGGGTACTCCCCTAATCACCGGGGCAGCATTCTGGCCATAATAACACTTGTCTATACTGTTGGACCACATAAGGAAGATCATACAATCATATGATTGAAAACAACACTTAAGTGTTTTTAGAATGTGGTATACTTTGTCAGTCAAATATTGACCTACTCAACTGGGCATCATAAATTAGCAAACAAATAAGCAAATGAACTGCAATGTTAACACGGATGGTTAAAATGGCCACCTGCCAGATCAAGCCTTCACTGAGACTCCTTAAAGTCTGCTTCAAACTGAGAAGCCAACATTCCACAGAATGAAAGCGGTCTTTGCATGAATATATACACATTGTGTTAGTGTATTTACACAAAATACGTCAACTCCTCAACAAAAATGCTGTATGTACAGGCAACATCAGTTTGGGACATAAGAATCAAATATTTCAACACCTTTATTCACCAAAACTGAGGATCAGAAACAAGACTAAATGGACCTCCAGCCTATCACAAGAAAGTTCCTGAGCCAAAAGATACGGATTTCAGCTGACAGACTGTCTATAACAAAAATATTCCAACATACTTACAGAATTTTGAGGATTCAGTTTCATTTTCATCTCTCGTATCATCTCAAAATCTTTTAGACTTCTATAAAACAGGTTTATTATTACTTGTTAGGACAAAGTTTTAATAATTACATTACGAAAGGACTAGCTTGCTTATGTTACATTCCAATATTCATAAGAAGATTAGATATAATTAGTAGTGCACATGTAAATCATTATTAATCCAAATTTTACCTAAGTGTCATGAGAAATAACAACATATAAAGCAGCATATTCAATTTCTACCTTAAAAAGCAACATGGTGGATATATGCCTCAAGAGTCCTAAAGCTTAGAAAAACTAGCAATGTCATTACAAATATGCAAAGCATTAATCAGCAAACTTTAAATCACTACTAAATCACTACTTTTTGCTATACCTTTTTAAAGAGACTAAACAAATTAACTTTAGAAAGGAATTTTATCATTGGCTACATTTAAGATTTCTAGTCATTTTTCCCCTATAGAAAAACTCTAGCTGGTCAATAATTAAGTAAGTATTTAATATTTGTAGAATATGACATGTATATTGGAATTAACTCCTAACTCCTATATATACCTGTAAAATTATGAAGCTATGCTTGCTCAAAAAATCTACAGCTATGTAGAGAAAGACTACTAACACTTAACTGAGTAAAGCAGGATAAATCCTCAATAAGTGCATAATTAACCCTCTTTATTGTATCAAAGACACAGTGGTTCACCAGGATTATTAAAAGAAAATTTTAGAATTTATAAACATAATCCAAACTAGAGAGGAATGAGTTCCAAGGCATGAGTTTATAGTCCAAAACAGAAATGTGAGCCAAGATCCAATGTGTTGGTGTAGCCAAAAAAGGCAAACAAAATTTTAGACAGCATCACAAGAGAGCAAGAGGAAACACCATCCTTCTTTACAAACCATGACTGCTTCTTCCTAGAATCCTTAGTGCCTAAAGGTGTGCTGCCTCTCAACTAAGTCCTGGAAGAGGGCCAGTGAAGGGCAAGTGCATGAGTGAAGGCACTGAGCAGGGGAGGGGCAGGGGAGGCGGGAATACAGGTTGAGCCTCCCTAATCTGAAAATCTGAAACTTTCTCAGCACTGACATGATGGGACAAGTGGAAAATTCCACATGTGATGTCACGTGATGAGTTGCAGCCAGAACTTTGTTTCAGGCACAAAATTATTAAAAACACTGTATAAAATTATCTTCAGGCTATGTGTATAAGGTGTATATGAGACATAAATGAATTTCGTGTTTAGACTTGGGTCCCATCCCCAAGGTATTTCATTACATATATGCAGATATTCCAAATTTCCCCCCCAAAATGAAATCCAAAATATATGTGGTCCCAAGCATTTCAGATAAGGGACACTCAACGTATATGAAACAAACGGACATACCAAAGGCAGTAAAACACTGCAGTCTGAAATTACAAACGCTGAGACAGAACATTCTTAAAATACTACACAAAATCAAAAAGACACCACATCCACAAGCGTCCTGTATTTAGGCCAAAAGAAGAGAAATACTACTTTATGAACTTGTCATAAAATTCATGGCACAAGTTAAAATAGTTTCAAAAACATTTTGGTAAAGATTTTTAAAGTGCAAATGAAAGATGAATTTCTAAAAACAATTGTTTAATGAAAGGGGACAGTCTATGTTTTCAAGAATGGCACATTAAGGAAGACAACTATGGCCTTTCAAATTATGTCTCATAGTGAGACAGGTCTGGTCCAATATGCCAAAACTTATATTCTAGGTCACTTCCTAATTTTTTATAAATCAAGTCTTCTTTAAAATGACTAAATAACATATAACCAAAAAACTAAATAGTAGAATAAAAACTAACCTTTCAGAAAGTTTGTCAGATAGTTTCTCAAGGAACTGCATGACAGTCTCTAAAATGAAATCCAAAAGAAAATATCTTCAATTATGTGAAATAAAATGAACATATCTGTTAGAATTATTAGATGATGATCATAATCTATATACCCCAATTCCCTTAAAGTGACGATTTTCAAAGGAAAGTAGAGCTACTAACATATACCAAATATATAGTAAATACTTCTAGGTGATGATCTTTTAATCAGAAAAAAATTAAATTGGCACACTAATAATCCACAGCCTCAGATTATATCCCAAAATTAAAAGAGTTAATGGGACAGGCACAGTCGCTCACGCCTGTAATCCCAGTACTTTGGGAGGCTGAGGGGGGTGGATCACCTGAGGTCAGGAGTTCAAGACCAGCATGGCCAACATGGTAAAACTCCGTCTCTACCAAAAATACAAAAATGAGCCAGGCGTGGTGGTGCACGCCTGTAGTCCCAGCTACATGGGAGGCTAAGTCAGGAGAAGAGCTTGAACCCAGGAGGTAGAGATTGTAGTGAGCCCAGATCGTGCCACTGTACTCCAGCCTGGGCAAGAGAGTGAGACTCCATCTCAAAAAAAAAAAACGAGTTAATTGGAAGCTAAAGAAAAAAGTCCCAAATTTCAAAGTGTTTCTATCCATTCCTATGTGTAAGAAAAAACGTTCTCAGACATGTCTGATGTTTTCAAAGTTTTAAAGAGATATCTAGACTCTGCTTTATTCATTAAAAATAGGCGCAGTATGGAAGTATGATTCACTGAAATAAATTTCTTAAAATCAATGTTTTTCTTGATAACAATTTTATTTTTATATACAACTGTAGAATAATCTATTCAGGATAAGTATGAAAAAAATAGCAAAATAAGAAAAATAAATTTTAACTTCCGATAGAATTTTTAAAGTACTTTTATTAAAATACTTCTGCTATAGTTGTCATAATCTACAAACCCATAAAGGCAGTGTAGTAGGATTACCACCGTTTCCCATAAGAAGAAATGTTTTATGAGTATTTTTTAATGTAGCACTTTTTATCACTGACTTATGTATACAGAGCTTTCATATGTATTTTAGCTCACGACAAACACTATGTTTATATTTTCCAGATAATCTTTTACACAGTTTTAAGTTTCTTGCCCTCTCTTCAGTTTAAGTTACCTCCTTTTCAGTGAAATAAAAGGCTAAGGAAATAATTAACGGTGGTTAACCTAAACCCAAACCATGAGGTTTCTTGCCACTGTCAATACTTAACAAGTCCTGTGTATACGAATTCTGAAAACACTGGCTCATGTGCCATATGAAACAACAATTGGAATTTTGGGGGAACAAAGACATTATTTAGTCAACAAGGAATCTCATTTTAGGATTATATTCCAGGTGCCATACCAAACTGTTTTGAAATGAATCCCTCAGTATGCCTGCATACGTTTTATCTCTTAATAACCCTCTTTTAACATTCATCCATCTTATTCTTCTAGTCATTTTACATGTGAAGAATCTGCCTCAATTAATCTTTTTTTTGAGACAGAGTCTTGCTCTGTTGCCCAGGCTGGAGTGCAGAGGTGCCATCTCGGTTCACTGCAATCTCTGCCTCCCGGGGTTCAATCGATTCTCCTGCCTCAGCCTCCTAAGTAGCTGGGATTACAGGCACCCGCCACCGTGCCCAGCTAATTTTTGTATTTGTAGTAGAGACGGGGTTTCACCATGTTGGCCAGGCTGGTCTCAAACTCCTGACCTCAAGTGATCTGCCTGTCTCGGCCTCCCAAAGTGCTGAGATTGCAGGCGTGAGACACCACCCCTGGCTTGCCTCAATTAGTGTCCCTAGAGAACTGTCATATTAAGACTGAGTTTGAAACCCCCTGAAAATCACTAAGTGCCTCACCGCAGTTACCTCCTCATTCACCGTCCACACGAATGCCCGCTTAGCCTCAGTCAGCCTTTCCTGTCTCCCTCTGCTCTGCGGAGGGCTCACCCTGACACTGCGCAGGACGGTTTCACTTCCCTCAGGGTGCCTTCAACAGCCACAGATGCATCCGACAAACGCCCCGAGCTCTTACATCCCACGGCATTGTTTTGTCTGTACTACTCCATCAGCACCGAAAACGTGCCAACCTGTATTACCATTTATCTTTTTCTATGCATATATCCGGCTCCTCAACTAAGCTTTAAATCCTCAAGGACCCAGGGCACATCTTACGTGATGATGTGCACAGCAGCCCCCTGCCAGTACATCAGCACACCAAGCACTTAGTGCACAAGGCTGACCTGCCAGTCACGGAATCTGGCGCTGGGTGCTGCAGGTCCAGTGAGCTCCACGCTGCTAGAGCCAGTGGTCATGCCCAGCCCTCCTCACATCTGACCTGGCCACAGCATGAGTCAGCTGATCTCTCCCTTCTCCTGTAGACAAATCTTCTGCGTGGCCTCCAGGACCACACGCTGTGATCACTTTCCACCTCCCTTACTGGCCGTTACATCTGGCAGCGTTAACTAGCAGTTCCTCACATGCCTGGTCTCTTAAACTTGAAGGCCCCAGAGCGCAGTCCTTGGACTTGTTCTTTAAGTTCACTCTCTTAGTGGTCTCAGAGTCTCATTTTAGAGGTTCAAACTTACATCTGAAGCTCAGAACTCCACACTATCTAACTGCCTACTCAACTTGGCCACGTGAACCTCATTTGGTGTCTCCAACTTAACTTGAACCGAACCAAGTTCCCGGTCCTCCTAATCTTAGTTAACAGTAGTAACTCACTCTTTCTAGTTGCTTAGGTCGAAAATGTTGGCTCCCTCTTCCAAATACCATGTACCCAGAATCTGATCACATCTTACCACCTTCCCTGCTACTACCTGGTCAAGATGCCAACATTTCTCATCATAGTTACTACAAAACAGCATCTAAACAGGCCATCTTCCACCCTGGCCCTGCTGCAGTCTTCTCTCAGGAGCAGCAGCACTGACTCTCACCATGAGCACTGGAGTCACATCTCTCACTCCTCTGCCCCAACCCGCACAGCGACCTGTTGCACTCGCGTCGTCTCTACTTAATGCCGCCCCTTGTCAGCCCGTTCCCACCTCTTGCCACTCTCCTTGCACACACTGCGCTTCAGCCACTCCGCCCTCCTCAAACGTGGCAGGCATTTTTCTGCCTCAAGACCTTAGCACTTGCCAGTGACTGCGCGAAACCTTCCTGCCCCCGAGAGCCACAGCCTCACGCCGGTGCCTGTCAAGAGCATGCTCACACGCCACGTTCTCAGTGAGCCCTCCGACAACACTCTCTAAAACTCCAACCCCAGCCTACAAGCCCACATTCCTTATCCCCTTCCCTGTTCCGTTTCTCCACAGCTTGTATTAACTAATAACACACCACATACTTTATCTACTCATTTCGTTCTTAACTGTCTTCCCTTGCTCACGAGAATGTAAACGGCATAACGATAGGAATTTTGTTCTGCTTTATACACCATGACCGAGAACAGTATCTGACATATAGTGGGCAATGAGTAAATATCTGCTGAATTAATAAACACAAATGGGATGTAGATGATATCAAACATAGGGCATTAGGTCTCAAGCAGCCTATGGAAAACCATAAATGTAGAATATGTGTTTAGGCTTCAGTTCTGCCACATTTTAGCAATATAACCTAACCTTAGATTCCTTATCTGTGACATGAACACAAATACCTACTTCACAAAGCTGCAGAGGAAGGAAATGAGATAACAACAGAGTAAGCACTGAATGATATTCTAATACTATTGTTTTATATAAATATAAAATAAAAATATGGTACTATTATAAGCAAACTGTTGACAACAGCGACTACAGAAAAACATACTTTCCACCAAACTGATACTTACAACAAAAGAAAAGACATACACTAAAAACACACATTTAATACGTAACATACATATTATATCTGTTTAGGAACTTCGATTATATGAACCAAATTATAAGTGTTTTAAGGGTTTAGGGACAAAGCAGTCCAAGGAAAGTGAAAAAGTTTAACAAACTTCATGAAAGAGGAGTTTTGAGCTGAGCACTAAAAAAACGGGGTAAGATTTTAACAGGTAGACTAGGAAAAAAAGCTGCTCTTTGTAGGAGAGTGACATGAGCAAGGGAACCCAGGCCGCGATGAGTGACACACGCCTGTGGCTTAACCGAGAGCCTTGAGAAGTCAAGGGAAACAGCTGTTTATGAAAGAGTAGGAAGCAAGATTGAGTGCATTTAGAGAACTCTGGAGAAGAGAAGAACATGCTAGGGTGAGAAGGGATAAGCACAGAAGGAATCAAGATAAGCGAGGATTCAGGATGTGATCTGCCCCTAGTGTCCCCTCTGTCCGTGAGTGGAATATCTAACCAGATATACAACTAGAACCCCAGGGGGCCCACCACACTGCCTCCTCCTCCCCTCATCCTCACTAAGTCTTGCAACTTCACTGCCAAGACCTTAAGTCTCACGCAGCTCCACTATCATGGCCACCCTACTCCTGACTCACCACCTAAATTACAACTGTAAGTTAATAAATGCTTTTGAAAAAACATATTATGTACATTTATATTATTGTGTAACATTTTCTCTTAGACATTATGAATCATAAGGAGCTCAACATAGCACAAGGCAGTTTATGACAAACCCAACGACACACTTCCGTAACACCTCACCTAGCACAAACCTTCCTAAGCAGGACTCTTCTCTCTGAAAACGAGGCCTATCTGACTGTGTGTTTTTTACATGACCTAACCTATAATTATCTCGACCTCAGTAAAATACTGATCTTTCATTCTCTCACCCTAATTCTAACCAATCTGGTCAAATGGAGCACAGAAACTAATTGAGTTAAAATGAAAACAATTTAGACTAACATCAAAATGAAAATTTAGGTTATGATTTTACTCTCAACATTCACATAAAATAAAGTTCTTTGGTTGGACAGAATAGATGCCAAATTATTAGCTCTATTTAAAAATGGTTCCTATAAACATACATAGAAAATCTCTATAAATGGTTCTCTGCATGTATTAAAAATAGAACACTAATTTACAGCTATTTAAAATCAAAAGCTCGCTTTCATAAAAATCCTATTTTGCCCTGAAATGTTGGATAAACAGGCTTACCTGGATTTTTAGCTATCGTTCCTTGGAGAGCCCTGTGGGAAAACGTGGAATACCCCACCAGCTTTGCCAGAAGGTCTCGACTGCTGAGCAATTCTTCTAAACATTTCAACTGACCAGCGTTGGGATACAGAAAAATTTTATAAGCAGCTTCTCGCACCTACATTTAAAAAGTAAATGGTGAAGGCTATAAATACCACGACACAGTCCTACGCGACAATAACACAGGCTCGTGCTCACCACTTTATCTGCAGATGATCACTGCTTTCAAGATAAAGCAATGGTCTACACAAGGCGATAAAGCTTCCAGAGTCATACAATAGCATGGGATGCAACAGCATACGTGACTGCAGCTCTAGGGCACTGTTCTGAGGTACGGCGGGACAAACCTCTACCCAGTGCATGGATCTCTATGCTATACAGCGTCTCAACCAGGAGAAGTAAGGCTGCATGAATTTAAAAGTCTCTGTAGTCTAGAATGTCAGTCAATGCTGCTATTAATCATACTTTAAAAATAAGAAGTCTTGTATGAAATATAAGTAATTAAATCAGTTTCATTCTTTTAAGTGTTTATGGCATTAATAATTCCACAAGTTAAATTTTTAGGGCTTAGTAATGCTAAAAAGTTTTTAAGGATACTGTTATATTATCACTGAATTTTGGGTTAAAACAGTAGCAACACACAGATGGGACCTAAACAACAAAGAGAATGAAACATACATACCAAGTCATCTGGTGCCTCTGCGTGGAGACCATCAATGATGATATGATCCCCAGCAGACGTAAAGTTATGACGAATGTGTTCTGGTAAGAGATGCTTCTCAATCTTGTTGGGAAAATTGGTTCCCATAAGAAATGTACTACTCAAATCCAAGATTTTAACATTGAGGTCCACTGCTCTTTTACGCTGTATGCAGGAGGAGTAAAAGTTATTTCAAGGCATTTTGAATTAATATTTCACAATTTAATAAGCAAAATATAAAGATGTCAAATCAACATACACATTGTTATCATTTAATAAAATACTAAATATGTTAGTAAAATGAATATATTACTATATTTTATAAATAATATATTAATTTTACTTTTAACAGATATTTAATATTCTAACAAAAAGATCATACTATGGTTTTCTGATGTTTCTATGCTTTAAGGTTTACATAACTTCTAGTTCTATTTTATGTCTAGGTTACATAACGAATTGTTGAAACTAACAACATTAAAAATCACATGCCAGGTGCAGTGACTCACGCCTGTAATCCCAGCACTTTGGGAGGCCGAGGAGGGCAGATCACTTGAGGTCAGGGGTTGGAGACCAGTCTGGCCAACAGAGTGAAATCCCATCTCTACTAAAAATATAAAAATTAGCTGGGCGTGGTGGTGCGTGCCTGTAATCTCAGCTACTTGGGAGACTGAGGCACGAGAATCGCTTGAACCCAGGAAGCAGAGGTTGCAATGAGTCGAGATCGCACCACTGTACTCCAGCCTGTGAGACAGAAGGAGACTCTGTCTCGAAAAAAGCACAGTTCTTTGCAAAAGTGTGGTGAGCCTCCAGAAGTGGGGAAGCACATTTTAAGAGTTCTGATTTTGGCCGGGGGTGGTAGCACGCGCCTGCAGTCCCAGCCCTTTGTGGGGCTGAGGCAGCAGGACCACTTGAGCCCAGGAGGTAAGGCTTCCGTGAGCTACGATCACACCACTACAGCCTGGGCAACAAAGTGAGACCCTGTCTCGGGAGGGAAAAAAGTTCTGATTTTGCATGTGCTTGAGCTGCTACAGAATGATACGGTTAAGTCTAAGAAGTAGACCAGAGCCCCAGGGCATGGTCCTGTCATCCTGTCTTCTACTCCGTGTCCCTGTCACGTGGCACACGGTCCTCGTTCCTGCCAGGCCCTCAAATGGTCAGTGATGAGGACGTGGATGGTGCCGGCACATCCGCCTAGCTTTAACCTTTGTAACACACAATCACCTGAGAAAACGTGCATTAGCAAAGGGGTTGCCATAAATGCTTTAAGATGAAATATAAACTAGAATCCACATAATAGTCAGGTTGACTGGAGAAGGGCTGAATTATCAGTTACTGGTTGCTAAAAAACTAGACAGGCTCTGCACTGGGCTCATGATGGGCTTCGGGTGAAAGTGTATACAAATCTTTCTGGGAGGGGAGACAGCAATTAACAGGTTCTAAACTGTTCTGTGTTCTAAAAAATGATTAAGCCACAATACTAACATACTCTTTAAAGATAAACATAGATGATGTAGAGGTATGCTTGATAAGACGCTGAAAAAATTGACTATATATCAATATCCCCAGAATTTCAATATAGAAAATTCAAATTTCATGGAAAAAAGTTTTCGGAGACTCCCATTTCTTTACAGTCCAGATTTCTCTTTGCTCATTTTGTTTCTGATATGGCCATTTATCACCACCTAATGGTAACAAGTAGAATAACAAAAAAGATGAACAAGATTTTGAAATCACATTACAGTTCCAAAATTTTCTTCAAAACTTTTACTTTGAAAAAAAAAAGTGATAAAATTAACTACTTTGAAAATTTTATCAACTGATAAAATCTCTGGAAAAATCAAAGCTGAGTTCACGCCAACTTCAATGAGCTGTCAGGCATATCACTTCATCATTCTGTGGTAACAATGAAATGTACAATAATCTGAACTCTTCAAAAATTCTGTGAAATTTGTGTTATTAAATAATGTTAAAAATAAACATTTCTATTAATTTTAAACTTATATTTGTATGAGACCTTAAAAATTAGGGTTGGGTGTGGTGGCTCACGCCTATAATCCCAGCACTTTGGGAGGCTGAGGTGGGTGGATCACCTGAGGTTGGGAGTTTGAGACCAGCCTGACCAACATGGAGAAACCCCGTCTCTAATAAAAATACAAAATTAGCTGGGCATGGTGGCACATGCCTGTAATCCCAGCTACTCAGGAGGCTGAGGCAGAAGAATCACTTGAACCCGGGAGGTGGAGGTTGCGGTGAGCCAAGATTGCCCAATTGCATTCCAGCCTGGGCAACAAGAGTGAAACTCTGTCTCAAAAAAAAAAAATTAATTAATTAATTAATTAAATAAGAAACCAACTGGAAAGAATATAGGCTTTGACGATTTATAGATTTTGTTGGTGGGTTTATTTCACGGTCTCTCTTTGGAAAAATGGAACATGTCTACTTTATATTCTGTCCCAGTGGAGCACCTTTGAGAACAGACATGGAAGTTACAAGGGAAACACTGAGTAGGTTTACTTTACTTGCATATTCAATATTGATGGGTTCCCCAGGGAGCTGCTCACTGGGAAAAAGGAGCTACACTGTGATAGTACGTTAGATAAAAGCGGCAATGTCTGTGCTGGTGAAACTGAACCTATATTATTTGTCAGCAAAGTTTCAAAAGCATCCTTCATGAGGATACACAAAAACTAAAACTATTCACCTGGATTCTCTCCTAGCAATCCTCCTTCTGAAGATATCAAACTTGATGATAGCTAGCATTATTATGATTTGTCATACGTTCACTCAATACTTTTATTGAGTCCAAAACTAATATGCATTAAAAAAACATGATCCAGCCGGGCGCGGTGGCTCAAGCCTGTAATCCCAGCACTTTGGGAGGCCGAGACGGGCGGATCACGAGGTCAGGAGATCAAGACCATCCTGGCTAACACGGTGAAACCCCGTCTCTACTAAAAATACAAGAAAATTAGCCGGGCGAGGTGGCGGGCGCCTGTAGTCCCAGTTACTCGGGAGGCTGAGGCAGGAGAATGGCGTGAACCCGGAGGGGCGGAGCTTGCAGTGAGCCGAGATCGCGCCACTGCACTCCAGCCTGGGGCACAGAGCAAGACTCCGTCTCCAAAAAAAAAAAAAAAAACATGATCCATGTTCTCGATCCTTTGTAAGCCTAGAATTTAGATAAGCAACACAACAATAACAGCATCATCATCACCAAGAGGTAAAGAAGAATGCCACATGAGTGAAATAAGTAAAGTGCGTTCAGATGAATACAAAATGCCACCTGGGGGACGGATAAAAGCTTCACAGACAACGTGGCGTGAGGATGAAGCCTTCATGGGGATTTCGGCCAGGGAAACCTGGTGAGCAGGCTTAGGAGGACAGCGCACCACACACCGGGGAGGACACTGTGTATGAGGGGCTGACAGCCGGAGCACAGCCGCGAGTGTGAGCTCTCTGTTACATGTTAACCTCACTAGTTCATTAGACTATGGGAAGTCCACAGGACGATTCTGGGCAGGAAAGTAACAAATCAATGCTTTACGAAAACTAATCCAATGTTCACAGACAGGGAAGACTGACCAGCAGGATGGTGACATGCTGGCCATGCAGGCTCTGGAGTCTGTCTGGCTTACAAAATAACCTCCGACAACCTCTACAGCTTTGGTTTCTTCCTCTAAAAAAGCCAGAAGTAATAGTAGCACCAAGCTCAAAGTTGTTGTGAAGATTTGATGAGAAACATATGATTTAAAATAGCAAGTGCTCAGTTGATGTTAAATATAATGACTGTTAGGAAGACAGAGGCCTTAAGAACAGCCCAGGTGTTAGAATTTGCTTTTAGGATGCAGACAGATGCAGGACCGTAGGAACAATGCAAAGACTTGGTGAGAAGATATGAGAATATTAGGAAGGAAAAGAATACAACTCACTCCAAAATTTTATTTTACAGAGAAGTATTAATGAAGAACTGATTTGGAAAGGGGCAAATGTGGTCACTTTACGCAATTTGAGTTTACAGTGGAGCCCATAAGCCTCACGGGCCGCTGGGAAGGCACGTCCTGGCTCAGGGTCAGACCAGAATCACACGCTGAGCCTTTAACACCACACAGACACATCAGATGTGTGAGGGTTCCAGCATTACTCAAACTCGGCACCTATCAACATGGTAACATCTACTGTATGTGATACGTATTCCCAAGGCCCTACCTTCTACTTTCAAGATATTCTGATAACTTAATCTCTTCATAGGTAAGCGGTTTAATTCTACCATATTTACTAGGAAAAATGTATTACTGTTTAAAACAAATAAACAAAAAGTCATAATAGTCTAGACTGCAGGGGAGTTGGGGAGACTGGGGGGCAGGCTGAACTTCCAATGGTGTCAAGTCTCTCCTGTTCTTCCAACCCTGAATTTAAAACTGAAATGAGGCACTTGGTTTCTCAGGAAGTTATGCGCTAGAAAGAACACTGGCCAGTGTTAGAAATTTTAAGAATTAACATTGGCCATTTGTGAGTTAGGATGGCAACTTGAACAAATCACTTTGTCTTGTTTCCACATCTGTAAAATGAAGGGGCTGGACTAGGTAGAAGGCCCTCCATCCCAGTGTAAACACTGTGTAATCTATGCTTGCTGCATCTGTCAAACACACATATAATATAAATCAATACACTTACGTAAGGTCTTAATGATATTCTCTGTACTACCCATCTTCAATGACATCAGCTTTCCCGTTCACTTGGCAGTCTTTCCTGATACTGCCTATCTCATCCTAATTCCATGATATCTAAAACACTCCACTTGGCTCAAGTCTTTCTTAATTCTGAATTATCATGGTGTGATAGGCCAACTTCCAGAGAGAGGGCTACATTCAAATACAATCTATAGAAGAATTTCGTAACAGATAAAAAGACCTGCACATGTTTGCAGTATGCAAATTCAAGCAATATATACAAGGACTGTAGCAATAATGATATCAGCTAAATGTTAGTAAAACAGGAAGAGTCAAAAAAACAGAGAAAAGATGTACCTTTTCTTTGTCTAGATGGATTCCACTAATTTCAAAATCAAACATAAACAGTTCAGCCACTCGCCTATAAATGAAATGAGCCCCAGGTTATAACAGGTAATAAAAATTACTAACAAAAAAAATTGTGGTTTTTTGTTAAATAAATCAGTCTTTTTGAGCCTCACTGCCAAAAGTTTTTTCAAAACACACACACACACACACACACACACACACACACACACACTCTTTGTTTTAAACAAGGATCTTAATATCCTCAGAAGTCAGGCAAAACATCCATCTGACTGACGATTACGATTGGCTCGTCATGTAAGAGCTTATTCCTTTACTCAGAGAGAACAAACCTGTAAAAGCCACCATAATAATTACTTATTTATTTCAACTCGATCCAAATCCTAATAATTAAAAACATAAAACAGGTTTTATATTTGGACAATTTTTCAAAGGCCCTCTGCGTGAGATTTCAGTTTTTCTTCCAGCCAGTAGCAGCTATTTAGAATATTAAATCCTTTGATGCTGTGCTGGACGCTGACTTTCTTGGCTAATGAGAATTGTTTTCTTTCTTTTTACTCCTGCTTCATGCTTGGAACCAATTTCAAGTGTAACCCCTTTTTTTTTTTTTTTTTTTGGTCAAAGGGTTTTTTAAAAAAAAAAAAAAACAAAAAAAAAACCAACAACATTGAATGGAAATAATCAAATATTTGATCTACTCTTTTGGCTTTCCTTGAGTTTTCAAAATAGATATATTTACCTTCCTGATTATTACGTCAAATATACCTCGAATGGAAATTTATAGTGTACGTTTATCATATTACACAATACAGGTCTATTATGTGACAAAACTGTATTGCAGAAACATATGAAACATTTAAAATCACTAATCCTATCAAAGATAATGACCATTAAAATTCTTGTATTTCCTTTCAATCTAGTTTTAATGTTATATATATATATATTTAGAATAATTTAGAATTTAGAATAATTAAGGCCCAACTGTATACATTTATACTTGCTTTCTCTTGTAAAATTATATCACAAACATTGAACAGTTCTCCATGTCTTTAAACGTTCTTCACTTCAAAAAGTTGGCTTTTGATGCTTGTTTTGTATTGTCATAGAGAATGCAAATGTTTTTATTTTCCCACTCCCATGAACCACAATATAATAAAAATCTTTGTTCCATTTTTTAATCCTTGTTTGTTTCCTTAGGATAAATTCCGAGAAATTAATCAAAAAGTACGCACATTGACATATATTACCAAATGCTCCTCCACAGAGACTTACCAACTTACACGTAACTAGAGGACCCATCATCCCAACCCAGAAGTGCTATTCTTACTCTGTTTCAACTTTGTCAGCCAGCAGCGTCATTCTACTTTCTACTTAATGGTGGTGGGTCTCATGCCAGGTACAGAGCAAAGCACTTTATACAAATTATTTTCCTTACATCTCATATGATTCTTAGGAAGTACTTTTTATTTCCTTTTTACAAAGGAGAAAACTAGGGCTTAGCGAGCTCTGAAGCCAAAGTCCAACCCCGCAGTTCCATTCTGGAGATGCACTTCCACCCACTTCACACTTGTTGCCACTGTTACACCTGTGGCACACTGCTATCAATTTTAGGGCCATCTGTCGCTATTCCTTATTTTGTGAAATGAGAGTTTCAAAAAGAGAATCTTTTGCCCATTTTTCTATCAGGGGGTTTTCTTTCCTCTTTTTTTAAGGTAATTTGAAAGTTCTCTTAACATAGTTAATATATTAACCCTCTGTCATATAAGAACCATTTTTTCACATTCTTGTGTTCTGACTTTGAATGTGGAAGTGTTTTGCCATACCAAAGTTTGCAATGTTTATATAATAAAAATCAACGAATCTTTCTGCAGTATGAGTTTGTATCATGCCAAGAAAGACCTTCCACATCCCAAGATTACCACTAGTTTTATAATTTCTTTTAAAAATATTTACATCTTTAATCAGTCTACTTTTTTTACCCCAAATGGTTATCCACTGGTCTAACATCATTTGCTGAAAACCAAGTCTTTCCCTACCGATGTGAAATGACACTTTTAGCACGTACCAAATAGTCTTACCGTGTGTGTGTGTGTGTGTGTGTGTGTATATATATATATATCTGTCTGTGTCTAAATTTTCTGTATTCTTCCATTGATCTCATTGACTATTCAGGCATTTTTAAGTATAATGCTCTTTAAATACAGCATTTTTATATGTTCTACTGTCTGGTATAAGTCCCTTTTTGGTACTTTTCCTTATAAGAGTTTTCCTGCCTATTCTGGCATATTTATTCTCTATGACTTCAAAATCATTTTAAGTAAATCATTTTAATTCTCAAAATCATTTAAGAATTTTAAAAAAAAATTCTTTATAAATTAGATAGCGTTAAACTTACAGTAATAAACACTACTGAGCTTTCTTCTTCCTTAAGAATACAGCATGTTTCTCCATTTCGGTCGCTTGCATGCTTCTCAGCTGTTGTGTGTGTCGCAGTTCCTCTACCTTCCTAAGTTCATTCCAACATGTGTTACAGCTTTGGCTGTTCTTGCAACTAGAATTTTCCCTCCATTATATCTTCTGGAGAATGTGATTATCTTCTTTACATACATGAAAGCTTTTAATGGCTTTGGAAAAACCCCAAGTTAAACAGGTTTCTTTATGGCCTGCCTTCTCAGAGACTCTAAACTACTAAATTCTTCAAGCAGGGAAATACATTGATACATCAGATTTCCAAACTTACTGACTGAAGGAACCCTTCTCAGAAAATTTCTGAACATCTCAGAGAACTAGTATTTCAAGGATTGAATCTAAGAATAAGATGACGAGTTAATTTAAATCATTTCCTCTGTGCATTAACTTACCAGACAAGAGTTTATTAAATCTATAATTCTTTGCTTTAGCCACTGTCTTATATTTTGCCATATGAATGGTTCCAAAATATAATTATTTCTGGGTGCTAGCCAACACTCAATGATATATAAGTGCCACAACACTGCAATAATTATTACTTCTAATTCTTCTTCTCTCCTACTTCCAAGTTGCTTTTCTTTTCTAGACTGTTGATATTCTACCCAGTTTATTTTCCCCAATATATTTATCATTTTATTATTAAAAAATTCCTATTGGCATTTTTAATAATATCTAGAAGTGTGGTATGGATCCTATCACTACGAGTCCTTTCTATCTAAAATGGTCTGCTAGTCCACTACAATTTTTATACACAAACAGGGGCATGTCGATCTTCAGTAAATACAGATTATGAATAACCTTCTGTTTTTTACATTTGTTTGTTGTTATTTAAAGTCAGTACCAGTTCAGTATACATCTGGCACAATTAATAGGAATTCAACTTTTCCTTGCTTTGCTAATGAAAGCAAGATAACGATAAAGCTTAAACTACGGTGATGACACAGCTAGCTTTACTAGTGTCCTGAGCATCAGGACTGATAAAGTAAAATACCACTAGGTCCCTGCACACCTGCCAGACAGGTGACAATAACCCCTCGAAGACAGAGCTACTCACATACCATGCTGTTCATGTGTTAGATTAACAGCAACCTGAACCATCAATTGGTCCCTATAGAAAATGGCTTCATTTGGGGTCAATAAGCCACGTACGGAGACAAAATAGGAGAAGGAAACAGGATCAGAAAGAATCAAGTTGTCGGAGGAAGTGTCCCACCAATAAAAAGTAGATAAAACAGGAATAAATGAGAAAAAAATTAATCTGTGTTATGGCATACATATAAGCAGGTTAAAGACAAACCCTACTCCACTGACAATTGCATTTGAGCAAAGAAATAAGACGCCTAGGCTCCTATATCAAATATTCTAATGTGTTGATTTAGAAGTAAGGCCTTTTCGATTCAGATTTATAAATGTAGCCTAATGAATCAAAGCAAATCATTACAAGCATCTTGACATCCTCCCAGTAGATAAAATCGATTTGCTTATATTTTCTGATAGTATCAATTATGGAACTTTGAGCATAAAGCTAAGCGTAACTATTAACTGTCTACCGGAGTTCACTCATTAGTTGGGCACCAACCACATGCCATGAATGTGTAGGTACTGAGGATGCAGCTGGGAACAAAACAGACCAAGCCCCACCCTCAAGGAGCCTGCAGTCTGGTGAGATAGATGACGGATAAATAAACAAATAGGATACGTTGGAAGGAATGAGGGCTATGAAGAAAAATAAATCAGGATCAGAGGGTGGAGTCTGACCCTGTGTAACGATTTGGGAGGAGACACCATTTGAGTGGAGTCCTAGAGAAAGTGCAGGAGTCATAAAGATACCTGGGGAGGAACATTCCAGACAGAAGAGGCTGCAAGTACAGAGGCCCTGAGGGACAGTCTCCCAACCTCACCTCTAGAGTCACAGTCACAACCAACGCAAAGAAATGACTGCGTACCTTGTTTCTGGATCAAGGGAATCCACAAGTTTTTTATCAGCTAGTAATTTTTGCAAACTTTGATATAAATCCACATTTGTGTTCAACCTAGAAAAATGAGAAATTAAAAAAATTAGATCACTTTCGAATATCTTATTTTTAACTTTATATGAAAAGAATGGTGTCAGAGTGTACCATACACATGCCCAGAAGCTGAACAGCATAACCTACCAGGAACAGTGTAACCATCCTTCCTTCCCACTTTCCTTCCCTTTTCTCCTTCCCTTCTTTCTTTCTTTCCCTTATTTTGGAGACAGGGTCTCACTCTGGCACCCAGGCTGGAGTGCAGTGGCACAATCACAGCTCACTGCAGCCTCGATCTTCTGGGCTCAAGTGATCCTTCCACCTCAGCCTCCCAAGTAGTTGGGACCACAGGCACACACCACCACGCCCAGCTAATTTTTAAATTTAAAACGGCTGTAAGGGAGAGCTCAGGACACAGGCCTCAGCGCCATGCAACTGGGATGCAAGACTGGCCCTGTAACCGCTCTGGGACCTTGGACACGTTATTTAGACCTTAGGCTGCCATGAGGATTAAATGAGATCATGTGTGCAGCACACGTTTCCTGTGTGAATGAACCATGGCCACTGTTGAGCAGTTGTGCCATTCAGAGAGCAAAGGGCCCAAGGCTGGGCAGTGGTTCCAACCCACCCCACAGTACCACTGGCAGGAACCCAGTCCTCTTCCCTAAATGCAAATGCCATGGCCCTCTCAGAGCTGAATAGTGAGCTGGGTCTAGACACAACCCGCACCCTGCTGGGCAGGTCTTCCAGGAGGGATAAGGTTGTAAGAACCACTCACCAGCCTCTACTCACAGAGTCAGCGATACTCCTGTTCCTCAGGTGGTTCAAAAAACCACTGAAGATTTATATCAATCGAAGGGTTTCTGTTCCCATTCTCATGGGCCTTTCCAAATACCAGTGAAATGGAGGTAGTCATTACTCATCAAAAAACACTCACCAAGAAGGGCCAGACTCCCACACGTGGATCCCAGAAGTCACGGAGAGAGTGAGTGCCAAAGCCTACCTCCTCCTCCTGACCTGCTCACCCATGGAGCCACTCCATGGCAAAGGGACAGCAGTTCAGAGGCTGCCCGCACTGCCCCCACTGCTGAGGTTTAAGGAAATCGTGCATTGCCCCCACTGCAGAGGTTTAAAGAAATCGTCCCAGTATGTTTTACGTTGGAAGACCCTGAGATAAAGCCCATACTTCTGTCTGTATTTGTCCTCCCACAAAATGAAGAGTGATTGTCCATGAGACCGGCCTGTGTCTAATTCTGCAGGAAACAGTGTGCAGAGCGCCTCGAGCAGGCAGCCCACTGCTGACGACTTGCCAGAGGCCCTTCCCTGAGAGGCAAAGCTTTCTCCCAGGGAGTCCCCGCTTTCAGCCCCGTCAGCGTGCCCAGCGCCTGCACTCTGCAGGGCCCAGTTCTACCCCATTCCGCGAGCTGGTTTTCAGCGGCTGTGGGAAAAGTCACACACGATCGTGCCAAAGTGAACAAATGCTGCCCGACCTGGGGAAAAACAGCTGCTGCACATCCTGAAGTGCTGGGTCTTCCAAGGGAGCCTCGTCTGACCAGAGGAGCCATCACTCTCCTCCTCCAACAACTTCTGGTATATGAAATTGTCCTCTCGTGTTACCCCCTTTTCCCTGTTGTAAATCCACGCTGGCAAGCCCAGGGCTCTCCCTAGCTCTGTACACTGCCTGGCATCGTGCCATGCAGCTAAGTGTGCTGGAATACAGCACTGTCCACCAATAAGTTATTTTAACAAGCACTATGGAGCTCTCATAAGTGGCTTAAAAACATTTACATTTACCTCAAAATCACTTTAAAATAACTCACTCCATCACAGCCTCAGCCAGAGCCTGCGCCAGCCCTCCCACAGACTTTTACGGCCTCCCTAGACTCCCCTAATTCCAACTGACAGGGGCCACAGGGACACTGTTTATACAGCATTTTGGCTTCTCGCCCTGTGGCCCACAGCCATTGATGCAACAGCAATTTAATCAAGCGAGAATCTAGTAAGTTCAACTTGCCATTAGGATACTAAAAGCCCTTGTTTAAGGTAAGTGATAATGGTGATGACAAGAATCCTGGGTGTCTACGATCTCAGATTATCAAGTGACACCTTTACATTGATCTCATTTAACCCTCACAAGGACCCCGAGGCAGGGTTAACTTTACACCCCATTTACAGACAACCAGCCCTGAGGCCCAGTGCCCGCCTGTGAGGTGAGCCAATGGCCTGTCGTGAGCCCTCCCTCTGGCCACCCCTGGTCACTCACACCTCCCACCCTGCTGGGCGGGGGACAAGCACTATGGACTGGACAAAACTGCACAAGTCCACGAAACCGGATCACCCAGGACGAGGCACAGAAGGGTGCAGGAGAACAGCACATACTTCTCTACCATGGTGCCAATACTTCTACAAGCTTCTTCCGCGGCTTCTCTGAATGCTGGCTCAGGGTGAGCGATTTTCACAAAATCAGCCTAATAAAAGGGAAAGACAAAACCAAAAGGGGATTTGATGAGAAGCTTTCTTCCAGGATCTGAGGGTGAAAATGAAAACCGGGTTTTAAGATGTGCCATTGGCTTGGCCGATGCATTTCCATTACTGACTTTTTCCTAAGCGAGAAAAGCAAAGCAACTTCTTTCAGAACATTTAATTGTTATTCCTTGAAACCAAGTTTGTTTCATTCCAAAAAAAAAAACTTTTATTAACTTTATTTCAGAAAAGTTTTTCTCTTTCAAATATAAACACCAAGCAAATTCTTCCTTACTTTTTTTTTTGAGACAGAGTCGCCCAGGCTGGAGTGCAGTGACACAATCTCAACTCACTGCAAGCTCCGCCTCTCGGGTTCACGCCATTCTTCTGCCTCAGCCTCCCATGTAGCTGTGACTACAGGTGCCCACCACCACGCCCTCTAGTTCTTTATTTCAAAAGAGCAGGCACTGGTTTCAAATATTCTACAACTTTCTGGCTAAAATTATTTGCAGTATGGTTCTCACATGTTAACTTATCTCCAGAAAACAACTCTTACAGGCTTTTTTTAACTAACACATACAGTATAGTTTCAAAACCCACTTAACTACATTCTAGTCTTTGATTTAACTACATTGTAGTCTTTGTGCAGAAAACAAAGGCACAGTCTCTTTACAGTCCTTTTAATAAAATGAGTTCATAGTCTCCACGGAATACTGTATACAACTACTACTGCTGCTACTGAAGTCATTAGAAATTAAAATGAGTGAAAATTCTTTTTTAAAAACATAAAATGATGTAAAAGTAAATTTTCGTTTTCATGTGAAAAAGCAGATAAACTACGAAACACTACATATTTTCTTCATTTGCCAAGAAAATGTGTGACTATAACATGAAATAAAATCACCACAAGATAAAATTTCCTAATTTTATTATCAAATAGTTTTTAATGCCAAAACATTTAAGTCCATAGTTTGGTATATTTGTTGTAACAACTGGTAACGATAAAATAATATTAGTACCAAAGTAGCTGAAAAATGAGTTACATAAATTTACAACATTTTTTTTACAAATTACTAATCTACAGGTTGTGAATCTATAATCAATATTAAAATTCAAAACACTAGCATACATATTAAAAATAGGATTTGTAATAGTGACGACGAAAACAGTTCTGTTACATAAAACTGTATTATAAAAAGAAAACAAAATAAAATGACTACTTGGTGAAAAACAGTTTATAAAACGATTGTCTTTTAACAGTACTAATCTTACTGGCAGGTAATATCTTAAAAATCAAAAACAGAGAAAGGTTCTTTTTTATCCAGATAACTACATATATAAATCACATCTTTTTTTTTTTTTTAAGTTTTCAGAATGAGATATTATTATACATAAATATTAAAAATGTCAAAATAAGATACAGGGCAGAGAAGTTAAAATCTTTTAGTGAAGACCAAAAGCGAAAATGTAAAAAAAAAATCCTAGAATACTGATTAAGATGAAGACCAAGACAAAAAATACACAGTGAATTCTGGGATTTGTGACAGCCACGCCAATGGTCACCCCTCAGTATCACTGGGCAATGGTTAGCTCCTCCCACAGATACCCGAATCCACAGATGCTCAAGTCTCTGATATAAAATGGTGCAGTACTTGCATATAACTGATACACAGTACATCCCATATGTCAAATCATCTCTAGATTACTTGTAATACCTAATGAATGTAAATAATATGTAAATAGCTGTTACACTGTATTGTTTTATGGAACAGTGACAAGAAAAAAAAGTCTGTACATGTTCAGTATGAATGCAAATTTTTTTTTCCCAAATATTTTTGATCCAAGGTAGGTTGACTCCACAGATCCCCCAATCTGGAGGATTGACTATATAGTGAAATTCACTGACACAGATTTTCGTTTTCTGATTTCAGTGACACAATTAGGTGAACAGGGTATGAAACCTTCTTTTGAGCAGTGCGTTTCCACAGCTCCCCCACCATTCAAAGACACATTTCCTATGCACATACTGGAGGCACAGAACAAAAACCCAGTACAAACAGAACTACCCAGAGCCTGCAACTTCACTCCAGAGAAAAACGCTTCACAATAATATACTTTATCAGTTTCCTTAAGAAAGGGAAGCTTGTGGTAAACATATCTGAAAGGTGTTAATGCTCAAGTCAAGTGCGTGGGTGGAAGGAAATTTTCCAAAAAAGGAAAAAATAAAGATGGGGATGAGTTATGCTGGGTCAAAGCAGTCAGTCAAAAGGTATACAGGATTCCCGTTAGGTGACATTCCAGAAAAGTCAAAGTAACTATAGGGATAGAGAACAGATTAGTGGTTGCCAGAGGTTAGTGGGGAGGGGTGGGTGTGACTATAAAGGGAGACTTCTGGGGGTTGATGGAACAGCTTTGTATCCTGATTGTGGTGAGGGCTGCACAAATTTATACAAGCTAAAATTCACAGAATTGTACCATCCTCCAAAAGAAGTCAATTTTAAAAACAAGTACATAATTTTTTTTAAAGATGGAGAGACTAACAAACTTTGCAAGCTTTCCAGGTAAGGGTTCATGAGACCCGAGCAGCCAGCCAGCCCTGAAACAGTTGGAACAGGAGGAAGAAGAGCTTGACAGATATCCTGCCTGGTCTAGCAACCCAGCTGCACCACACTCTGGCCAGGCGACAGCGGGCACATCCCTTCATCACCCAGTGCCTTTCTTCCCTCTTGTGAAAATGGAGCTATGCTGAGGTTACTTCAGCTCATCCAGAGAAAGCTTCTTCAGCTAACTGAGCTGTAGAAAGGGCCTCCAGCCTAGTTAAATCTAAAACAAGTTAATGCCAGAATATAAACTCCATGAAGTAAGAGATTGTGCTGTTTCATTCCTGCACGTATACCTCGTGCCCAGACAGTGTCTGGCACACAGTAGGTGCTCAACATTGACTGAATGTGAGGGAAAAACCTATGTAGTTCAATACCATGTAGACAGGATCATAAATGATCATTATTTAAACTGTGTGTGCTGCTTTCCTTGACAAGAGTCACCAAGAGTCGGCTCCTTCAGGCTGATAGAAAATCCTGCTTCCTGGAAATGAGTATATGGAAGAGATATCTGCACTTCCATGTTTGTTGCAGCTCCGTTCACAACATCCAAGATTTGGAAGCAACCCAAGTGTCCATGAACTGACGACTGGACAAAGAAAATGTGGTACTCACACACAATGGAGTGCTATTCAGCCATAAAAAAGAATGATATTATGTCATTTGCAACAACATGGATGGTCATTATGTTAAGTGGAGTAAGTCAGGCACAGAAAGACAAACATCACATGTTCTCACTCATTTGTGGGACGTAAAAATAGATACAATTGACTCATGGAAATAGAGTAGAAGGAGGGTTACCAGAGGCTGGGGAGGGTAGCAGGGTGGTGTGTGGGGCGGGGGGCATGGAAATGTTTAATCGGTACAAAAAAACAGGAAGAATGAGTAAGACCTGCTATTTGATAGCACAACAGGGTGACTACACGCAATAATAATTGTTGATTTTAAAATAACTAAAAGAATATATTTTTAGTAGAGACGGGGTTTCACCATGTTAACCAGGATGGTCTCGATCTCCTGACCTCGTGATCCGCCCGTCTCGGCCTCCCAAAGTGCTGGGACTACAGGCTTGCGCAGAGCTTGCAGTGAACTGAGATCGCGCCACTGCACTCCAGCCTGGGCGACAGAGCGAGACTCCGTCTCAAAAAAAAAAAAAAAGAATATAATTGGACTGTTTGTAACATAAAGGATAAATGCTTGAGGGGATGGAGACCCCGTTTTCCCGGATGTGATCACTGTGCACTGCATGTCCCTATCAAAACATCTCGTGCACCTCATGAATATATACATGAGGTATATTAAAATTAAACATGAAAAATGAAAAAAGAAAAAGAAAATTTTGCTATCTTAGCAATGGATTTCCTAGTTGGTGAAGAGATCTAGGTACACACTTCTATTTCAACTTTAAAATGTTAAAAAAAAAAAAAGGCTTTACAATCATTTTGATGTTAAAACTTGTTTTTTAATTTAAAAAAAGCATTCCTGAAAAGGTTTATTAAAACTGGTTCTCACACCTCTTATGAAAAAGAAGTGGCTCACACTTATAATCCCAGCACTTTGGGAGGCTGAGGCAGTAGGTTCACTTGAGGCTAGGAGTTCAAGACCAGCCCGGGGAACACAGGGAGACCCTGTCTCTATTACAGCAAAAAAAAAGAAAAAGAGGAATTTTGTTGTAAACGTACACATAAAGTGTTCTTAGAATTTGGGGAGAAGCGTTCATAAATGAAGAACCTCTGTCAAATGAATATATATGTAAATATATATTAGTAATCATTCATTATATTACATGTATATTTTATTAAATATACATATTAAAGTACAAATTCTAAATATCACCTTTTCTGATAACATTTTCCCCATTCCTAATGACATATTTCATCATAAAAAATCATACCTAACGGATCTCAAACAGTTTCAGACATTTTTAACTTTATAATCTAATATTAAGAGTAAACAACGAAGGATAAACTTCACTTAAATTTTAGCAGGGTTGAAAGAGAGGTAGCTTCAAGTCTCAGGCAAAGCATCTTACCAAGTCGGCCACTCTGCACAAGGAATCCGAGAGCTCATCGAAGATCAGCACGGTCTGGGGCCCAGGTGGGGTGGAACACGCACGGTCCACAAGCAATTCTGTCTTTCTCAAGGCTTTTTCTTGTGCAATATGAAATCCTTCTGGGGCACTGAGCTCAGGAACTCCAAAAAGACCCTTAGAACCAAAGAATACGTCTGATTTATAACCAGAATTCAAAACTGTGCTTTTTTGATATTTACTAAAATTACTTTTATCACAAAGGAAATCTTGGCTTTCATTGGGGTATCATGTTATACCTGTGATCACGGATACCACTATCATACTCCCCATATCACTCCACATAAATTACACTAAAAATGTTTCCAGAACATAATTTTTCTTCAATTTTTAACTATTTTCTGAAAAAAAAAATGATATGGGTTCAAAATCCAGCTCTGTCACTTCTACGGAACCTAAGAGTGGCTGCAAGAATTAAATGAGATAATATATGTAAATATATATGCGTGTGTGTGTGTGTGTATATATATATATAGCAGTGTTTAGCACATAGCATTTGATAGATAGATGTCAGCCATAATTATTATTAGTTTATAACCCTGGTCATGTTATTTCTCCTCCTAGGCCTCATATTTTTTCATCATGTACAATGGGAATGACAATACATATCTTACAGCAGGGATACACATACTAAGGCTATGTAAAGTACTAAAAGCAATATCTGACAGAGTAAGATCTCAGTACACAGTACCAATTATTCTACAACTATCAAAGAGAGAGGATGAGTTGACCACGAAGCAATAGATATTTTAGAAAAATTTAATGAACATATTAAAATCATAGGCTGAAACTGGGAGCAAATTTTATACGTTCCAAAGACATTTCAATATCTTGATAAAAATAAAAATCACTGATCTAATGGCAATGACCATTCTCTTGTTACCTATTCAATCACACTTGTTAGCACACTCAGGAAGGCAGGGAAAAAAGCATTTAATATGCACCTACCGCATACCATGAAGTGCGCCTGCTACTTTACACAGGTTCTCATTTCAATCACACAATCCTACAGAACAGAGTATCATTCTTTTATAGATCAGGACACATGCTTTAAGAGGTTAGAAAAGGCGGGCGGATCACGAGGTCAGGAGATCGAGATCATCCTGGCTAACGCGGTGAAACCCTGTCTCTACCAAAAATACAAAAACATTAGCTGGGCGGGCGGCGTGCACCCGTACTCCCCAGCTGCTGGGGAGGCTGAGACAGCAGAATGGTGTGAACCCGGGAGGCGGAGCTTGCAGTGAGCCAAGATCGCGGCACTGCACTCCAGCCTGGGTGACAGAGCAAGGCTCCGTCTCAAAAAAAAAAAAAAAAAAAAAAGAGGTTAGAAAAAACTTCTTTGAGGTCACAAACTAATATTGGCAAAGCCAGAACTCGAACCCGCTCTGTACATCTCTAAAGCCCACACTTTTCCATACTTCTCTATTACAGTTACAATCTCAATTACAATCTGTTTGAAAGTCTTCTCTCCCGAAAAGGTGAGCCTCCAGACCCAAGAGCCCTGCCCTTCATTTCTTTAACCAGCTATCCAACAGAACGTCTAACATATGGGGGGAACGCAATGAAGGAAACAAATGACCGCAGCAGGGGCTGGGCTCTGTTAATTAACTTTGCAGGTGTTTAGCACACACACTTTCAGAAATAGCAGCGGTAAACCTTCAGGCCTGATGAGGCCTACTGTTTCTACAACAAGGGATGGATGAAGTTAAGCTATTAATCTCTCTTCAAAATATATTACAAGCTAAAAAAATAAAAGAGAGCCAGTGGGGGACAAAGGAGAATCAGGACTAAAAACAAACGTCATCTTTATATTGATTTAATTTGATTCAAGCGCAGACCACTTCCACTTCCCAGTACAACCTGCCCGTATTGCCATATCGCCCTCGGGAATTCTAACTCTCGGATTACCAGTGACCTTCGTAATGCTAAAAAACTGAATAAACCTTTTTTTTCAAGGCAAAAACCAATTCACAAATTTGAAAATCTGCTATCGGTGCTGAGCATCATGATACAAAAGGGAAAAATAAAAGCTAAAATTAGTTACATCTCATCTACCCAAAATCACGTCTTTCTCCTCAGCGCCTACAAGCAGTTCTCACACCAACTATGTTAATACCAACACTGCATACTCTTAAGGAAGGTGGTGTGGCAAATTTCACACAAAATAATTTTAAAACAGACAAAGCTGATAATGGAGATAAAACCAGAATCATACACCTTAGCTCAGTGCAATACCCTAGACTCCTCTTTATAAGGCAACACACTATAATGAAATTTTAAAAGGCAAAAATAAAAGTCATCCTTAACCTAAAACGGACAAAATGTACAAACTCCAAGTAGAACAGGCATCAGGTAAGTCCCTTCCAACCCTGCCTCCTTCTCACCTTCCACTAGACAATGCACTCTAGTGACTTCCTGGGGTAAGAAATCCAAGTGACCAATTCCATGGCACTATGGGAAGTCAGACTCGTCTCAACAGGGTTTTGTGTTTTAAAACAAGAAAGCCCAAAGCTTTCAAATAAATTAATAGGCGATGGAATTTCATGTATCAATGAAACTACCATTACTCGACTACAGGCAGCCGTGTCCCTGCAAAAAGACCATGCGATACCGCCTGTGAAGGCACAGGGATAGGCCTCCTAAGGCAGGACTGCAGCGCTGGAACTAAAGGGCTTTAGCGGGGGTGCGGGTGCATGTATGCAGAGGGCGGGTCCTGGCAGGCCGAATTCACCGCCACCGTCAGGACGAACTATTCAGATTCACGTGGAGCAAGTGGCTCATGCAGAGGCAGTTCCCGGACCCGACACTCTGGGGAGGAGACCACTAAGCCCGGCCCCTCAAAGCAGAGGTGACCTTGCCCTCATCGAGAGGGCACACAAGACGCCACTGTACGAGGTGGGTTCGCTGCCCGCCTCCTCCCAGGCCCAAACAATCTGGCCCTGAGTGTCGCTGGCCGCGCGGAGCAGAGGTCGGCTTAGCTCGCGGACTGAGAGGAGCTCCTCCTGCGCCGCTCACCCGGCGCTCGCCGAACAGGTCCAAGCGGCTGCCCTGGGGCTTGACATTGAAGGCGGCGCCCACGGGAGACCAGCTGGTGCTGACCCTTCGGGCCCGGATCCCGGCTTGGAGGCTTCCCGGGCCCGCCCACCGGGGCGGCAGAGCTGCTGCTCTGGCTCCGAAGCCGCCCAGCCTTCCGACGCACAGCATTCTATCCCCGGAGCAGTCCCTTCCTCCCACGCGAGACCCCTGCCCTGGTGCTTTCGCCCGGAACGCGGGCTCCGCGTTTCCAAGGCAGCGGCCCACGCCGCCCCACGTGACGGCTCCGCTTCCGGGTCTGGGCGTGGCCTCAGGACGTGGGCACGTTGACGTCCAGAGAGCAAGAGCGTCGCTGCCCTGCCTTCTCAGCCGCCGTCGCGGTTTACCGCCCCCTGTGTCCAGAGTAAGGAAAGGCTAGGGTTGCGCTTCCCTCCCAAGTTGACTAGGGGGCTGGGCGCAGGCAAAATCATGACATATTCGAATTCAGGTGGACATTAGATATTTTTTGAGAGATGGTAGGTACTTGAGTAAACAAGAAATGCCCGCCATAGGCCTGAAGGAGAAGTTTCCCTTTTAACCAACTCTCTTGGTAAATTCATCCTGCACTTCTCTGTTTGGTGTCTCTGCCCGGTAACTTTTTACTCTTGCATAGCTCATTTAAAAACTTTAGATGGGAAACAGTGAAAGCAGTCTAATGGGATTTTCCCTGCAGGGTTTCAGAGTTGTCTGGGACCCGTGATCCCTTTTTTCCTCCCGCTTTCTCTCCTTTGGGATGGACTGTCTACCCTACGCCGGCCCCCGCCCCGCACCACTGTCTTTTAAAAGCGGATTAACTTTCCTGGTTTCGCAGGATCACACATGGAGAGAAATTGGGCCACAGGATGAATCACCCAGGAGGTCTCCTCTGTAGCTTATTTAAGGACGTAGATGGTGAGAGGAGTTGATGCGGAAAGTGGTAAGAAATGTTGAGATGGGGCGAAAATGTATTTCGCACATGGGAAGGAAATCGACTTTGGGAATCAGAGGGCAGATTGGGCTGAACTGTGTCTCCCAAAACAGATGCTGAAGTCCTAACCCTCGGCACCTGTACAGGTGACCTTATTTGAACACAGGGAGTTTGCAGAGATGATTAAGATGGGTCATACTAGCTTAGGGAAGCTGTCCTTGTAAGAAGAGGACAATGTGGCTGATACAGGAGGAGGAGGACAGCCACCTGAAGATGGAGGCGGGGACTGGAGTGATGCTGCCACCAGCTGCCAGGAGCTGGAAGCAGCAAGGCCGGATCCTCCTGCAGCCCCTTTGGAGGGAGCATGGCCCTGCTGCTTCGCTGATCGCAAACTTCCAGCCTACAGAACTGAGAAAGTCCATTTCTGTTGTTTAAAGACTCCCACTTTGCGTACTTTATTTGGGCAATCCTAGAAAACAAACAGAGATTCACGCCTGGCAAATAATGATCAAACAATGATTTGTTGGGTGGAATGGTGATTAAAACCTAGGTTAGAAAATGAGCAAAGTGGGAGGGAGAGCACCAGGACAAAGAGCTAATGCATGCAGGGCTTAATACCTAGGTGACGGGTTGATAGACGCAGCAAACCACCACAGCACATGTTTACTATGTAACAAACCTGCACGTTCTGCATATGTATCCCAGAACTTAAAAATAATTTGTTAAAAAAAGACAAAATGAGCAGTGTCTACAGCTTTCTGAAGTGTGACAGCATCACCAACTTAAAGCTGTTACTAGTACTAAATGGAATAAAGATTTCCCTTTTCTTTCCCCTTACTGTCCTCAGAAACACAGATGAGGGATACATCTTCACATGACTCCTCAGAGCACTAAAATGATATCAAAATACTCTTCCCACAAGAAACACACAGGCAGAGGATTCTTCAGATAATAGGAATAAGAAATGTGAAGTAAATTAGAATAAACCATGCAGCTATTTTCAATATTTACTCCTGGAAAGACAGTAAGTTACACAGAATCAGTTTTGGGAATAACTTTTCCGTTTTCACCTTTTTATGATTATTGTAATAATTGGAGGAATTAGTAAAGTAAAACCATCTGAATAACTTCATCACCAAGCTGATTCTGAGATGGTGTGGCTGATTTAGAAACTCTCCTCTGTCACGGGCTGCTGAACAGAAGGAACCCTGTGAAAGTTGTGTCATCGTCCTCATCAGCAAACAAGCCATTGAACCTCTCTCCTCCTGTCACCTGCAGCCACACCTCATCCCCGAGCTTCAGCTGCAGGACGATGCCGCCAGAGGCCTGGTCCTCAGAGCTCATGTAAGCGTCTCTGGTGTGCAGTATTTTTACTCCATTTTTGACCAAAGACACCTGAACATTCCTGGAGAAAACAGTGATGTGGTAGGTGAAGTAATAGACGCCAGCAATGTGGCACGTGAACTTCCCCGTTGCTATATCATAATGGTTGAATTCGTTATACAGGATCTTATCAAATT